GCAGCGCGCCGCTCCTCACTCCTCCTCGTTTCCCCCGACGACTGCTCCCTTGCAGACGCTCCACATGGACGTGTGGGGCCCAGCGCGCGTCCGTGGTCAGGGTCACGAGAGGTACTTCCTGATAGTTGTTGACGACTACTCGCGCTACACCACGGTCTTCCCCTTGCGCACCAAGGGTGAGGTCCCTGATGTCTTGATCCCTTGGATCCGCAGAGCCCGTCTCCAGCTCAGCGAGCGTTTCCACTCGGACTTTCCTGTCCTGCGCTTGCACTCTGACAGAGGTGGTGAGTTCTCCTCCGACCTCTTGGCAGCCTACTGTGCTGAGCACGGCATTGAGCACTCGTTCACGCTTCCGGCCTCACCACAGCAGAATGGGGTTGCGGAGCGCCGCATTGGCCTGGTCATGGAGGTCGCCCGTACCTCCTTGATCCATGCGGCTGCCCCCCACTTTCTGTGGCTGTTTGCGGTCCGGTACGCTGCGCATCAGCTCAACCTCTGTCCCCGTGTCTCCTTGCCGGAGACCTCGCCCACACTGCTATGGACGGGGGAGGTTGGCGATGCGTCGCGTTTCCGGGTCTGGGGATCTCGAGCTTTTGTCCGCGATACGTCTGCGGACAAGCTCTCCTCCCGTGCTGTTCCCTGCGTCTTCCTCGGCTTTGTCCCGGACACGCCTGGTTGGCAGTTTTACCACGCCACCTCGCGCCGAGTCTTGCCCTCTCAGGACGTCACTTTTGACGAGTCCGTCCCCTACTACCGCCTCTTCCCCTACCGCACTGCCCCGCTCCCCCCTCGCCTCTCTTCCTCGCGCCAGGTGCTGTTGTCATAGACCCCCTCCCCCCTCAGGGTGCCGCTCCCTCAGGTGTGTCTCAGGTAGACCCGGTTGAGCCTGTTGAGGTAGCTATCGACTCTCGTCCTGCAGTGGGTGCGGAGCCTGGGGGTGCTGAGCCTGGGGGTGCGGAGCGTGGGGGTGCTCAGCCTGGGGGTGCGGAGCCTGGGGGTGCGGAGCCTAGAGGTGCGGAGCCTGGGGGTGCGGAGCCTGGGGGTGTTGAGCCTTGGGGTGCGGAGCCTGGGGGTGCTGAGCTTGGGAGTACTGAGCCTGGGGGTGCTGAGCCGCAGAGTCCGCAGTCTGGGGGTTCTGAGTCTGGAGGTCCTGAGCCTGAGGGTCCTACACCTGGCGGAGCCCTCTCCTCGGAGCAGCTGCGTGAGTGGTACTTCCAGTACTGCAGCCTCAGGAGAGGTACCTCTGGAGACAGGCGTACTACTGGGACTGGTGCAAGTGCTTCTCCTCCTACCCAGGAGCTCCCCTCCCGTGAGCGGATCCGTGAGTGGTACGAGCGGCGCTGCACTCTTCGGAGTGGCGTGCCTGGTGTCGCGAACCCCGCTGCTGCTGGTGGTGCTGCTGGTGCTGGAGACTCTACTGGTGCTGGAGACTCTACTGGTGCTGCTGGTGCTGCAGCCCCAGAGGTTGGAGCTGTTTCTGGTGCTGCGGACCCGGGCGTTGGAGCTACGGTTTGTGCTGCGGACCTGGGCGCTGGTGCTGCTGCTGGTGCTGAGGACCCGGGCGTTGGAGCTGCTGCTGGTATAGAGGACTTGGGCGTTGGAGCTGCTGCTGGTGCTGAGGACCCTGGAGCTGGTGCTGCTGCTGGTGCTGTGGAGTCGGGCGTTGGAGCTGCTGCTGGTGCGGAGGACCCTGGCGCTGGTGTCTCTGCTGGTTCTGGAGTCGCTGCACGGCAGCGCCCGTACTTCGTTCCGCTCCTTCAGCAGGTTCTTGGTCTCCCGCCTTCTCTTGGTCCTCCTCCTCCCTTAGAGTGTCCACAGCCTGTCCAGTCACGGTTACAGTTACAGCCCGCCTCCCCACTGCCTGCTCCTTCTCCCTACACTGGTCCTACTGGAGGTCTTGCTGAGCGTCGTGAGCCTGCGTCTCACCCTGCGTCGCCTGTCCGTACTGCTCGCACTAGTGGTTGCGGTTCGCGTCAGCGTCCTCCTCCTGTCTTTGGCACGCACCGGATGTCTCTGCGTCCGTCCACTGCTCCTCTGCGTGCCCCTTTGCCTTCTCCTCCTGAGTCCTCTCTTCCTGCTCTTCCCGGCCCGGAGTCAGACTCTCTTCGTGCTGCCAGTCCTACTGTCACGCGTCTCCTTGCTACTGTCGTCACTGACCCTTCTTTTGAGTCCACTGCTGCGTCTGCCCTAGTTGCTGAGCTCGTCGACTTTGCTGCTCGCTGTCGTCTAGACTACGCTGCTAGTCTTGTCGCTGAGTCTGAATCTGTCTGTCCTCCGTCCGTCGGGGGTGAGTGTGCCCTTGGCACAGACGTCCTTGAGGACAGGCAGGAGGAGTTCCAGTGCTTGGCTGCTACTTTGCCTCATCTCGTGTCCGTACTGCTTACCCCTGAGGGAGACCCGGATGCACTTGACATCCCGACTCCGCGCTCTTACGCGGAGGCGATAGAGGGTCCCTACCCTTCTCAGTGGCAGGCAGCTATGGATGCAGAGATGGCTTCCTGGAAGTCCACAGGCACCTACGTTGACGCTGTCCCCCCTCCTGGGGCGAACATCGTCAGTGGCATGTGGATTTTCAGGGTGAAGCGGCCGCCGGGTTCTCCGCCTGTCTTCAAGGCGCGTTACGTGGCTCGTGGCTTCAGTCAGCGGCAGGGAGTTGACTACTTTCAGACCTTCTCTCCCACCCCAAAGATGACCACTCTTCGGGTACTGCTGCACATAGCTGCTCACCGTGACTACGAGCTACACTCTCTTGACTTCAGCACTGCTTTCTTACAGGGCAGCCTGCACGAGGAGATCCGGCTGCGTCGCCCACCTGGTTTCACTGGGTCTTTTCCTCCTGGCACCCAGTGGAGTCTCCGGCGGCCAGTCTACGGTCCCCGCCAGGCACCGCGTGAGTGGCACGACACAATGAGGACTACGCTTGCGGCTCTTGGGTTTTCTCCCTCTACTGCCGACCCGTCGCTGTTTCTACGCACCGACACTTCTCTGCCGCCGTTCTACATCCTCGTGTACGTCGACGACTTGGTCTTTGCCACAGCTGACACTGCTGGACTCGCCTACGTGAAGTCCGAGCTACAGAAGAGACACACGTGCACAGACCTGGGTGAACTCCGTAGCTACCTTGGCTTGCAGATCACCCGGGACAGAGCACGCCGCACCATCACCCTGACTCAGTCACACATGGTGCAGCAGGTCCTTCAGCGCTTCGGCTTCACGTACTCCTCGCCTCAGTCCACTCCTCTGCCTACTCGCCACTCGCTCTCAGCTCTGCCTTCGGATGAGTCCGTAGAGTCGAGTGGCCCGTACCCAGAGCTTGTTGGCTGCCTCATGTACCTGATGACCTGCACACGACCTGACCTTGCATACCCTCTTAGCATTCTCGCGCGCTATGTTGCTCCTGGGAGACACCAACCAGAGCACATGGCTGCAGCGAAGAGGGTGTTGCGCTACTTGTGCAGTACGTCGGGCATGGGGCTAGTGCTTGGAGGGCGGAGTCCAGTGGTCCTCACTGGTCACGCAGACGCTTCTTGGGCTGACGATCAGGCTACGCAGCGGTCGTCAAAGGGTTACACCTTCAGCCTTGGTTCCGGCTCTATTTCGTGGCCGGCTACTCGCTCGTCTTCTGTTCTCGGCTCCAGTTGTGAGGCTGAGATCTACGCAGGGGCCATGGCTGCTCAGGAGCTTCGCTGGCTCACCTACCTGCTGACCGACCTTGGAGAGCCACCTCGTTCTCCTCCAGTCCTGTACGTAGACAACAAGGCCATGCTGGCCTTGTGTCGAGAGCAGAGACTGGAGCAAAGAACAAAGCACATTGCTCTCCGCTGCTTCCTTGCTCGTGAGCTACAGCAGCGTGGTCAGTTGCGGCTTGCGTACGTGGCCTCTGAGGCCAACACTGCTGATGTCTTCACCAAGGCACTTGCGCCTTGTGATCATCAGCGCTTCTGCACCCAGCTGGGTCTTGTACCTGTCTTGCCTTCCTTGCTCACCTCTTGATCTTGCTTGTACTGTTACATATATATATACCTGCTCTTGCTTGTCTAGCCTTATATGTATATGTACTCATGCATGTGAACTGGCCTTGTGGCCTTGAACTTGTGCTCGGAATGTGTGGTGGTTTTGTGATCCACCCTGAGCTTGCTTTGCTTTGCTTCACTTGACTGGTCTTGTGACCCCTAGTTCTCCCCCACTTCGCCTATGGGGGTGTGTCAAACATTATATATATTGTGCTTGTTTAGGCTACAGTGGGTTAGCCTATACGGGGTACACAATTCTAGGGTTAGGTACTTGTACTGATTTCACTGTTAGTTCAATCATTCCTGTTCATTCATTTCAACACAGGTGTCCTCATTCCTTGGAGCGTGGCACTTTCCTCGAAGTGATGTGGCGAATGAAAGCCCATGTTGAAGCCCAAGACCTGAATTACAAAAAAAGGAAGGCAAACTGTGTACAGTTTGCCTACCGAACCCACAGTTGACCTCCCGAGCCAGGCTGGTTACCAGAAAACATTGCGCAAAGAAACACAAAGTCGTAGAGCAGAACAGGTTTGGTTGGCGAGAGTCCCAACCACACCCTCCTAAAGGAACAAGGGCTCAAAATGTGCACAGTTTGCCTTCTTCGGTAATTCAGGTCGTGTGATTTCCATAGTACGCGAAGCGATTAGAGTATGCGAAGAGATAGAATAAAACGCCACCACAGCATAGGCCATGAGCATTTTCACTTTTATTCCTAGCTCTTTCCCAAACATTGCATTTGGACCTATCGCCTTCCGCGTCCCCCACGCTTCTCCCCACCGTCTCTCACACACCTCCCCACGCACATGCCCACTCTTCCCACCGTCGCCCAAGCTTTCCCCCACCGTCGCTCACGCTTCCCCTTATCGCCGCTCACGCTTCCTCCGACCTTCCCCCACACCGTCGCTCACGCCTTTCCCCACCTTCCCTCACGTTTCCCCTCTCATCGCCCACGATTCCTCCCACCGTCGCCCACGCTTCGGAGCACCGTCACCCACGCTTTCCCCACCGTCGCCCATGCTTCCCCCCACCGTCGCCCACGCTTCCCCCCACCGTCACCCACCCTTCCCCCCACCGTCGCCCACGATTCCCTCCACCATCGCCCACGCTTCCCTCCACCGTCGCCCCCGCTTCCCCCCACCATCGCCCACGCTTCCCCCCACCGTCACCCACGCTTCCCCCCACCGTCGCCCACGCTTCCCCCCACCGTCGCCCACGCTTCTCCCCACCGTCGCCCACCGCCACCGTCGCCCACCGCCACTGTCGCCCACGCTTGCCCTCCCATCGTCCTCGCTTAGCCTTCCCGCCGACCTCCCTTCTCTCCTCCTCTCTCCACGTCGTCATCACTCCCCTGCCCATCACGTTCCCCCTATTCACCATCGCTTCTCTACCCATGCCGCCCACCCTCTCATCCCTTCCCATCGCGTGGGGTGTGGGAGGGTGCGTGGTCAGCAGCACCCTTCCGTCGCATGCACGTTCATTCATTACCCCTTTCCTTATCTCCCCATTCCTCATCTCCCCATTCCTCATCTCCCCTTCCCTCATCTCCCCATCCCTCACCTCCTCATCCCTCACCTCCCCATCCCTCTCCTCCCCAGCCCTCTCCTCCCCATCCCACACCTCCCCATCCCTCATCTCCTCATCCCTCATCTCCCCATCCCTCATCTCCCCAATCCGCCTCACCCCATTCCGCCCCGCCCCACCCCATTCCGCCCCACCCCTTTCTGCCCCACTCCATTCCGCCCCACCCCTTTCTGGCCAACCCCATTCCGCCCCACCCCAGCCTCCTCCCCAGCCTCCTCCCCACCCTCCTCCCCAGCCTCCTCCCCACCCTCCTCCCCACCCTCCTCCTCACCCTCCTCCCCACCCTCCTCCCCACCCTCCTCCTCACCCTCCTCCCCACCCTCCTCCCCACCCTCCTCCCCACCCTCCTCCCCACCCTCCTCCCCAGCCTCTCTTCCTCCCCTCCCTTCTGCTTCTCCCCCCAGCGTCCTCCCTACCTCCCTTCCTCCCATCATCACTTCCTCCCTTCCTTCATTCCTGCATTCCTCACTTCCTCCCTTCCTCCGTTCCTCCCTTCCTCATTTGCCAGTTGTCATTCCCTTATACTTCAGCCACGTCACATCTGACTTCTTGATTTGTGTTTGGACAGGTCTGCTCTGCATCTGGTTGTGCATGTGCTAGCTGTCTGATAGTAACACACGTATAGCCATGCCATAAATTGGATTCTTTTTTTTATAATACAGGATTATGAGCCTCAGAGCAATCATACACATGACCAATACCAAGGAGTTCAACAATTAATATATTACCGTATCTGTAAAGTCAGGGGAATCACCAGACTCAAGAAGGGAACAAAGCTAGGGGGTGTATGTGTAATGTTGTTTTCCGGTTTTGTCTGCTACACTGCAAGCAATAAACCAGGCCGTGGTAAAGCCACATCTGGTGCTGAGCACCTGTAACTGCATTGGGGGGTATGGGGGTGAGTGAAGGGGGAAAGACAGTAAACGGAATGAGCAGAGGGGAAGAGAAGAAGCAGCGGGGGACAGATTGAACAGAGGGGAAGAGAGGAAGCAGGGGGGAACAGAGTGAGCAGAAGTAAAGAGAGTGAGCAAGGGGGAAGAGACTGAGCAGAGAAGAAGGGGAGGGAGCAAGGGTGAAACAGAGGGAGCAGGGGTGAGCAGGGAAGGCGATAGGGGGAAGCAGGGAAGGAGATAGGGGGAAGCAGGGAAGGGGATGGGGGGGAGCAGGGAAGGGGATGGGGGTGAGCAGGGAAGCGGATGGGGGGATGCTGGGAGGGGGACGGGGGAAGGAGGGAAGGGGACGGGGGGAAGCAGGGAAGGGGAAGGGGGAAAGCAGGGAAGGGGATGGGGGGGAGCAGGGAAGGGGTTGGGGGGAAGAAGGGAAGGGGATGGGGGGAGCAAGTCGGAGGATGGGGGGAAGCAGCGCAGGGGATACGAGGAAACAGGGATGAAGGGAAGGGTGTATGTGCGGGTTGGAAAGGGGGCGTGACAAGTGTGCGAGATGGGAAGGGAGAAGGGAGGGATGGCGAGGGCAACGAGGAGTGGAAGGGAGGGCGACAGGGAAAACGAGGGCGACGGGGGGAGAGAGAGACGGGGATTGCGAGGGGACGAGCGCGAGACGAAGGGGGGCAACGGGCGGAAGGGAGGGAAAGAGAGCGTGAAGGGGGAAAGAGAGTGAGAAGGGGGGAAAGAGAGTGAGCAAGAGGAAAGAGAGTGAGCAGGGGGGGAAGAGAGTGAGCAGGGGGGGAGAGAGTGAGTATAGGCATGATTTGGGAAAACAGGAGCGAGCAGAGGGGGTAAGAGAGCGTGAAGGGGGAAAATGGGTGAGAAATGGGGAAAGTGGGGTTAGAACAAGGGGAGTGAGTAGAGGGAAAGAGAATGAGGAGGGGTGAAGCGAGTGAGCAGGGGGAAAGAGATTGAGGAGGGGGGAAGCGAGTGAGCACGGGGGAAGAGAGTGAGCAGGGGGGAAGAGAGTGAGCAGGGGGGAAGAGAGTGAGCAGGGGGGAAGAGATTGAGGAGGGGGGAAGCGAGTGAGCAGGGGGGAAGAGATTGAAGAGGGGGGAAGCGAGTGAGCAGGGGGGAAGAGAGTGAGCAGGGGGGAAGAGAGTGAGCAGGGGGAAGGAGAGTGAGCAGGGGGGAAGAGAGTGAGCAGGGGAAAGAGATTGAGCAGGAGAGAGTGAAAGGCAATAGGAGGGGAAGTGAAGGTGACGGGTGGGGAAGCGAGTGTGACGGGAGGGGGAAGTGAAGGCGACGGGAGGGGGAAGTGAAGGCGACGGGAGGGGGAAGTGAAGGCGACGGGAGGGGGAAAAGAAGGCAACGGGAGGGGGAAGTGAAGGCGACGGGAGGGGGAAATGAAGGCGACGGGAGGGGGAATTGAAGGCGACGAGAGGGGGAAGTGAAGGCGACGGGAGGGGGAAGTGAAGGCGACGGGAGGGGGAAGTGAAGGCGACGGGAGGAGGAAATGAAGGCAACGGAAGAGGGGGGGGAGTGAAGGCGACGGGGGAGAAGTGAAGGCGACGGGCGAAGCGAAGGTGACGGGCACGCGACGAGCTGCGGAAGCGATGGCGACGACGCGGGCAAAAGAGAGCGGAAGCGTGGGAAAGGAAAGCGAGGGCGAGGGGCAGGCCTCTGGATAGGTTTGGAAGCACTCTTAGTCGAAAGGGCAGTTTGCCCTACCTGGTCTTTCAGTAAGGGTGGGACAGCCATGTCAGTCTTGCTTATCAGGGTTGGCTGCAGTGTTACTCGTGCTCGTCAGTGTGCTATGCGCCTCGATTAGAAATTGTGCATTGTCTAGACAAAGAACTACAGCTACACGACTACAACTAGAACAATAACTGCAGGACTATATGGTTCCATCTTAGCAGAATACCACACACAATTCAATACAAGAATTCCTGGCCGGGACGTCGCTTCTTGGCAGCATTGAACAGGGCTACCACATTCACCCAGTTCAGACCTTCACTGGGCAGGAGTGCTGCAGTCATCAGATCGCACAGTTTGGCGTCGCCCAGGCAGGTCCGTTTCCAGGTCTTGATACGGTTCTGGCGACTGAAGCCACGCTCGCACTCCACCGTGCTGAGGGGGAGCACCGCTACGGCCTGCCACAGCTGCACAAGGTTCGGGTAAGCGCCCATGTAGTCGGTTGACTGCAGCATAAGCGAGAGGGACTTGTGGAAGCTCATGTTGCCGTGGTTGGTATCCATGGTGTGGAGAAACAACGGCAGCTCCCTCACGCACGCCTTGAAGCACACACCTGACAGTATGGGAGAGCAGTGAGGGGGGCGGTCGGTGCGTATAAGAGGTGTTTAGCAGCAGACCAGGGTACACACACACACACACACACACACACACACACACACACACACACAGCAGACAGCACATGTCAGGCTCAACTAGGTGGCGTACCAGGGAGGCGGCGGTGAAACATGTGGTCCAACATGCCCAACCACTCGCGGCACTTCTTCATCCGCTGCGCGTTGTCGTCGGGATAGCACGAAGGCCGGAAAAGCTTGGACCCGGCCAGGTCGTTCAGGTCTTCAAGGCGGAACTCGAGTCGCTCAACGCAGGCCTTTGCAAACTCCTGGCACACCGCCTTGCAGGAGTAGTAGTCACCGCCAGTCGTATGCCCAGGGATCTTGCGCTCATGAAGCACGAACTTGTGCTCAGCAGCATCGCCATTCTGGTCCACGCCTTTGACGGTGACCTCGCGGTGGTCGGGGTTGCCATGCTTCTTCAAGAACGCGCAGAGCAAGGGCGATTGCTCGTTGCCGAATCGATCCTCGCAGTCCACGTAACGTACTTCGATCGTCCTGCAAGCGAGCGACACCTCCCCTGCGACCACCGTGATGTCTACCTGTGAGTGGGAATGGGATGTGGAGTTGCTGCCAGAGGTTGATTTACGATGGTTAACAACGGCAACCTTCCGCCACTAACAACAACGGGGAACTAGACCGGTAAACATGCTACCAAGATGGGAAACGACGGCAAATATGTACAAAATCAACACCCCACACGTCACCTGCTGCTTCTGGAACTTGGCGTTGAGGTCGTTGAGCACGGCAAGAATGTCTGCAAGGAAGAAGAGCATGAAGTGGAATTTGAACGAGGTAACAACTTCATAGAGCGCGTGCTTGAAGTCGTTTAGCAACACGATCGTGGCCGGCAGAACCTTGGCGAACCGCTTGACTGCCTCCCCTCGAGAGAGCCAGCGCACGTCGTTGATCCCCTGCAGCTCCAAGTTGGTTTCGCAGATGTACTCCTGAAGATGCTCGAAGCGCCTGTGCCAGTTGCTCGACCTAGATAGCTGCTCCGCCACATTGCGCACCGCCTGGTCGATGATGTTGAACTCTGGCACCTTCTCCGCGGCATCCTTTGCGGCCAAAGCCTCCCTGCTCAATGCAAAACAGAGAAAAGGAGTGATTAGAATGAGTGAGCAGGGCATGAGCAGCACAACACACCTGCCTTAAAGCCAATACCACAGATCGACTTACCTGTGTGCGACGCAGTGGCACGACACGAGGTACGGATTCTTCGCCCGGAGTCGTGCCACAACACCGTTGTTGCTGCCCGTCATGACAGCAGCGCCGTCGGTGCTGATTCCGACGATCCTGGCAATGTCAATGCCCACCGCGTCTAGGTGGGTCAAAAGCACGTCGGTGAGAGTTGCCGCGTCACATTTGCCAACCGTCAGCAGCGTGAGAAACTCACAGACGCTCTCCCCGTCCTTCATGAAAGTCGCGTAGACTATCATGTGCTTGCCGCGCGCCTTGTCTGTACTCTCGTCGAGCTGTATGGAGAGGTACGGGCTCGCCCCGATGTGCTTCAGTTGCTCTTGCCGCATGTACTTCGCGACCGCATCTAGTAATTCCGCGAAACCGTACCTGCATAAGCCATTAAAACAGGTTAGCACGTTTCCAATCAAGGCAATGCAAACTGAACAAGTACAACGACAGCACCCCGAGACAACTTACTCCGAAAAGTAGTTGCCTTTGGAATCCAGAGGCAGGTTCGGGACTCCGAGGTCGGCCATGAACTTGATAGTGCCCACGTAGGAGGTGATTGGCGCCTCCGACTTGCAGATGTACACGGTGGTCTTGAGCGCGGTGATGATGTGAAGCGTGCTCCTATCCAATCCCTCGAACTCGCTCAGCAACGCCTGTCGAAGCTTCCGGCTCTCCTTCGCCTTCATCTCGGCGTGAGCGTCCTGGTGTGCGGTGGAGCGCTGGTGCGTCCGGATGCTGGCCTTTTGCATGTCACGCCCTCCACTGCCTCCCTTGCCGTATGCCGTTTTCGCGCCTTCCGCTCCATGCTCCAAGCACGTGCTGCATCTCAAAATAGGGAAGCCAACGTCGTCACGAGTTAGAATAAGCCACGGAAACGAGGATTCCCATGACGTTTTAAATCGCTTGTGCGCCATAGCGAAAGCTACTTCGGGGTAACGGGCCATCTCTTCTACAGTCGGCAGGTCGTCCTCTTCCTCCTCGTCATCACTCCCCCGGTCCTCCACTCGTATGGTTGGACGTGCGGCTCGCTTCGAAAAGAGGTTCGGTTGTCGCCACCACTGCTTAGCACTGCCACCGCTTGAATCCTTGCGCTTCTTGGTCGCGGAGTCGTCAACCGCAGCGTCGATCTCCGTTACAGGAGCCGTCGCCTCTGGAAGAGTAGGTTCGGTCGTTGTAGTGCAAAGTTCAGGTGAGCGCAGGTCACGGCCCGATTCATCCACACGGGTTTCATTCTCGGTAGAATCAACTACAGGCTGCGGAACGGGAAGCTTCAAGGCGGGGGTTCGTAGAAAGCTGAGGCCCGTTCGCGGGGGTGAATTCTGGACATGACCACTTGCTTCGTCGTCACCATCACTGGTCTCATCAACAGCCATGGCGAGGATCAGAAGGTGGATCGACGAGCTGGGCCTAGGCTGGCTGTAAGAGAGCGTGATGGCGTGGCGTGGTTGCAAACCCTAGGCTAGAGGAGATGGCAAGGAGGAAGGATGGAGAGAAACGAAACGAGGAGGACTGGGGTTGGGTGCGTGCGTGAGACTGGTCGGTAGGTGGGTGGAGGGGGGGGGGTTGCTGGATGGATGGAAAGGGAAGAAGATGCTTCTACGCAGGACACACCTTCAGCACGAAGTAGGAGTGTGTGGCGCTGCGCGGCATTGTCAGCTGTGATAATGGCAGGTGAGTCAGGTACAGTTCACGGTACCGTGGCAGTGGCGACGCGAGCCGTCTAGGCGACGCGCATCTGCTGACTCAGGCAAAACGCCGCTAATCGCGGCCCAAATCTCGTGAGTAGCCCCCCCCCCCCCCCCCCCCCCCCCCCTCCCGTCAAATCGCATCAGGGTGGTACGCGACACTAGTCTTGGTCATCAGGGCGAGTACACCCAGCATGTCTTAAATATAAGTGTTAACAAAATGCACACTTTTCCGTCTAAGTGTGCTTCATAAACCAACTTTTGAAAACAAGGGTGAAGACCTAAACCCACCCTTATAGTAAGGGCCATAAGGGTGTTTCACCCTGATATCGAGAGGCCTGGTGAACGCCGACGCCCTGCCCTGTCTACAGGTATGGTCTATGCCTAATACTCTGCGTGCTATCCCAAACTGTGCACAGTTTGATAAGCTCGCGCTTTTCTGGTTGTGGGAAGGGCACCAACCATCATGGGTGTTGGAAACAATAAGTCCTAAGTGCGCTTCTGTCGTATCAAAACCCAAGGCACCAAGCGAAGCAGTCCCAATCGAAGCATCGAGTCAACCTCGGAGGTTAGGGTAACCGCCTGGAGGTTACGAGAAAGTCAAAGGTCGCTGACCTTTGACTCGACAATCACAGCGCGACAGTTAAGGACACACAACTGACTCGTTACAGAGCAGTTGCCCGAGTCGCACTGTATCGAACCGCAACAGCAATACAGTTATCTACCTATCTATTCGTATTCCCTGTACTCTTATATAAATCCTTGTATTTGCTTGTTTAATTCAATCAACTTTGCTCTCACACACCAGTGCAAGGTCGGTTCACAATCCTCATCAAACGCTTCCGCTATTACAAGTTTTCTACCCAAGAGTTCTCCTCTGCAAAGATCCTAAGGGCTATTTTCTCAGCCCAACATGGTATGAGAGCAGACAGGGGAAAACTCTAACTTTTTTTTCATTACAAGACATGGCAACAAACAAGGAAAGGAGCTCCCCTAATGGCTCCTCGGGGACTACTCCTACTCCACCACCAGCCTCTGGCCTGCAGACAGAGGAAGGCACGGCAGCAAGACCAAGGGGAACGTCAACCGAGACCCCCACGAACCATCCTTCTGACTTCGACCAGAACATGATGGAGAAATTTTTCTCCTTCATGTCCTTCTACGAGCAACACCAGCAGTCGGGACCTGCACAGACACACAACAGCAACAACGGAGCGACACCCATGAGCCTTGACGGGTCGTCATATGCGCGAGGGAATCAACAGCAGCAACCCACCTTCGCCCCGTACGAACGCGGGTCGATCAGCTTCCTGCCTCAACCTCCACCTGCGCAAGACAAACCAATGGATGCCTTACAAGTACAGTCGCAGTTCGCGCATGTTCTGAAACTACAGACGTCAAGACCTTTCGACGGAAAGGACTTCTTTACCTGGTCCTTTGAATTCGAGTTGATGATGGAGGGCGCGCAGATACTTGGCTTCTTCGACGGATCCCTGCAGTATCCAGCAAACGGGACACAGTATGAAAAGCAGCATTATACGTATCAATCCATGATGGCGTATACTATTCTACTGAGAAACATCACACCAACCCAGCAGCAGAACATTCGCCCCTACCGGAACTTCGGCAACTCGGCGGAACTCGCGTACGGCCATCTGAAGAACCTGTACCAGGCAACAGACAGTGTAAACCAGAGCAGGTTAATGGCGCAGCTGACAACAGTGGAAATGAAACCAGGAGAAAAAGGGTTGGCGTATATCAGCCGATGTCGCGAATTGCGCGACAAGCTTCTTCGATGTGGAGGGTCAATCTCTGAAGACGCCTTCGTAACAGTCGTCATAGGCGGCCTCGGTCCTCAGTGGCGCGCCACCAAAGCAATTCTTCGAGCACACGGGAGGATCTCCGAAGCGGCACTTTGCGCAGAAATTCACGCGGAACAGCAGGATATGGACCTGCAAGAAGAAAGACACAAGAAAAGGACATCAGCACCGGAGTTTGCTTTCCATACTCAGCGACGACACAACTACTACAACAATCGACAGCAGCAGCCGAAGTCAGTACCTCCATTTTGTCACATCTGCAAGACATCAGGACACCCACGCTCGCACTGCCCGTCTCGACAGACAACACCACAGCGACAACTGCGGCCTTCAAGCACACAAGTTGCTTCGACACAAGCAAGTTCGACAACCACGATTCAAGCTTCAACGACCTCAACTGGACAACCTGCACAAGGAGCAAGAAATATAATCAACTGCATGACGAAGATAACCGATTCATGTACAACCGAATCACCACCACACTACTCACCGGAAGAAGAGCTTGACAACAGAACACCTCGCCGTGAGCTACTCCAGCCGAATCCAACGTACGCCGCCATCGCTCAAAGTGAACCGTCCGGCCAAGACACCTGGTTCTTGGACAGTTGCTGCGGGCAACACATGTGCTCGTCCGGGCGTTTCGTACAACGCGAACATCGACTCCAACGGGAAGTGATCATCACGGTTGCCAACAACCAAAACCTGCGCACACGAAGACAAGGAGTGGTACAGCTTCAGTCAAGAGAAACAAATGTCATACTGCACATGTCTAAGGTACTCATCGCTGAAGGACTCGGCTACAACTTACTGAGCGTTAGCCAGTTGATGGCGAAAGGAATTCATCTGGAAGCCGACAGCACGACCCAGGAGTTCAAGCTTTACCACGGAAGAGGCGGTCTCTACATCGGGAAAGCAGTGCTGAAGAACAACGTCTTCGTCCTCGACTTCGCTCCCGACCTCGGCACTGCAGACAGCGACGCCATTGTGAACTTTGCTGAATGGACACACCCTCCGGATCTCGATCCCGACTTCAGCCCGGGAGGTTTCTGGTACTCCCACACTATCCCTGAAGCAGAACGAACAAGAGCGTTAGCAACAATTCAACAAGAAGCAGAGACAACAACATCGGCAGCAGCAACAACATCGACAGCAGCAACAATATCGACAGCAGCAACAACATCGGCAGCAGCAACAACATCAGCAGCAGCAGGAACAACGACACCAGTCACAGTCGACGAAGCACCACCAACACTCGCGCAACAGCTGAATCCGACTCAGCGTGAAGTCCACCGAAGCGCCAACCTCGTCGCCAGCTTTTACTCCAACTCCGACGCATATCAGCGTTCACCCGGACACCGCGCCTCTGAAGAGATCTGGCACGCACGCACAGGACATCCAAGCAACACAGTTTTGAATAACACGATAAGAGCAGGAGTCCTCGACAAAGACTCTCTACTTCTACCCGATGGCAGAGAACTCCAGAAGGCACGAGGGACTTGCCTTATATGTCCCGAAGCTGACTTACCTCATCGACCGTTTGCTTCACATCACAACCCGAGCGCTCCAGCGTACGCACCACTCGAAAAAGTCTACAGCGACATCCTCTACAATCGCGAACCAGGACAAGTCAACTACAACTACACCATCACCTTCATCGACGCTGCTACTCGATACGTCTGGCATCGCAACCTACCCAGCCGCGACATGGCGCTCGCAGCATTCGCCGCCTGGCTACCGATAGCAGAGAGAGAGTCCGGAACACAACTGAAAAATTTCCAGTCAGACGGAGGTGGCGAGTACACCTCTCAGCGCTTCAAGCAGTTCTTGGCGGAAAGGGGGATCAAGCAACTCCTCTCCCTTCCCTACGCACATCAGCAGCAAGGTGTTGCAGAACGACTGAACAGGACCCTGCAGAACAGCATGCGCAAACTGTTACGTGGCATGCGGCTACCCAACCACCAGTGGCCAGCAGCAATGGACCACGCTGTCATGCTGCACAACTTGTTGTCGTCGTCGTCACTCCCGAACAACGCATCACCGCATCTGCTGTGGACAGGGAAGCAGGGCAGCACGAAAATGTTACGAGTTTTCGGGTGCATGGTACAGTACAGACCCCCAGAAGCACGAGCGGGAAGATTTTCGCAACGGGCACAGTGGGGACTACACCTCGGCATCGAGAAAAATTACAACGCATGGAAAATCTTCGACGTCCACACAAAGGAAACAGTAGCAGCACGTGACGTGATCTTCTACGAAAGACTCACCCTTCAGACATACCTCGCCAACTTGCACGAGAATCGGGACCTCACCAGTGGTTTTCGTGGTGACCGAGCCTTCGCGTCAGCAGCGGACGAAGCAGACTGGGATGAACAGAACGTCGACAACGCCTCAGAAGAAGCCGGACCTCTCCCATACTGCTCCGTCGACGTGCCCATGGATGAGGATAATCCTCGCGACAGTAACAACGCCGAAATCTTCTACCGTTTCGCCGACGATGGTTACATAACACCTGTGACAGTCAACACCAACGAAGCAGAAAGGGTAGGGCCAAATTTCATGCCCGACCCAGAAACGGGAGACGAAGCAGCTTATCCCGAGGATCCAGAACTCCCTCGATACTCACAGACTGGGCTGCAAATCCTTGGTCTCGTCACCGCAGTCCATGGCGCCGGCATTCCTGAGGAGCCTGCGACGGTTCAGCAGGCTCTGCGGGGGGGGGAACACAGGGAGAAATGGCGTGAAGCTATGGACAAAGAGCTGAAGGCACTGGAGGAGCGCAACACCTGGAAAATTGTTCCCATCGGCGTAACTCAAAATAAAAACATTCTTACCGGAAAATGGGTCTTCCGTGTGAAGACGAAAGCTGATGGCACCATCGACAAATTCAAAGCCCGCTGGGTCGTACGTGGCTTCGACCAGGAGCACGGAAGAGATTACACCGAAACCTTCGCTCCGGTCAGTCGCCACACCTCACTCCGAATCCTCATCGCCGTCGCCGCCATGAAGAAAAAGAAATTGCGACAGATCGACGTTGCGAACGCATTTCTCTACGCACCTGTGGATGCAGAAATCTTCGTTGAACTCCCGCACGGCTCCCACGGCGAACCCAACCGAGTGTGTCAACTACTCAAATCACTCTATGGGATCAAGCAGGCACCGCGACTGTGGCAGCAGTACCTACACGCCCGCCTCATTCGCATCGGCTTCAAACAACTCCCGCATGACCAAGGCATGTATCGCCTCACAAAAGGAGGCGATTACGTCCTATTAATCGTCTATGTGGACGATCTTCTCTACATTGGGTCAACCGACAACATCGCCGCGTGGTTCGAAGGGGAGCTCCAGAAAGACCTCACGCTCACGGTCTCTTCTACGGTTACGCAATACCTCGGGCTCAACATCCGTGAGGAAGAAAACGCAATCTACCTAAGCGCCGAGAAGTACGCCGACACTATCGCGAAACGCTTTCGTCTCACACCAAGCGCCATCTCCACGCCTTATCGCTACGCGTCAGGAACCGAAAAGGGGCAATCTACTCTACTTAAACCCGCCGGCATACGCGACTATCAGAAGAAGCTAGGATGCCTTCTTTTCGCAGCAGTCACGTGCCGTCCCGACCTATCCTACTCCGCGAGTCAGCTCGCTACCTATCTCAAGAGACCTGAAGCAGAGCATCTGGCGGAACTCGATCGTGCTCTCCACTACTTCGTCAGCACCGCGACGATCGGACTAACTTATCACAAAAACGTGACTACACCGACCAAACTAATCGGCTACGTCGACGCCGATCACGCCGGCGACACCGACAACAGGCGCTCACGCACCGGCTATGTCTACCGCCTTGAGCCTATCGGTTCTATCTCCTGGCAGTCAAGCAAGCAGGAGTTAATCGCACTATCTTCAGCAGAAGCAGAATATATCGCACTCTGCTCAGCCACCAAGGAGGGACTTTACCTTCGCGAACTACTGGAAGAAGCGAAACTAGCCGAGTTACCCAGCTTCACCGTGTTCTGCGACAACCAATCGGCAATTCGCATCGCCAACAAAAACGGCTTCGCAAACAGGACGAAACACATCGCCCTGCGCTATTTCTTCGTGAAGGACGAGATAGAAAAAGGGAAACTCGATCTGTCATACTGCCCAACATCCGAGATGGCAGCCGATTACTTGACCAAGAAACTCGGAAAGCAGAAGTTCGAATACTGCATGATGCTGACTGGACAAGGCCACGTCACCAGCAGCGACACTCCAGAAGCGAAGGGGAGTGTTGGAAACAATAAGTCCTAAGTGCGCTTCTGTCGTATCAAAACCCAAGGCACCAAGCGAAGCAGTCCCAATCGAAGCATCGAGTCAACCTCGGAGGTTAGGGTAACCGCCTGGAGGTTACGAGAAAGTCAAAGGTCGCTGACCTTTGACTCGACAATCACAGCGCGACAGTTAAGGACACACAACTGACTCGTTACAGAGCAGTTGCCCGAGTCGCACTGTATCGAACCGCAACAGCAATACAGTTATCTACCTATCTATTCGTATTCCCTGTACTCTTATATAAATCCTTGTATTTGCTTGTTTAATTCAATCAACTTTGCTCTCACACACCAGTGCAAGGTCGGTTCACAATCCTCATCAAACGCTTCCGCTATTACAAGTTTTCTACCCAAGAGTTCTCCTCTGCAAAGATCCTAAGGGCTATTTTCTCAGCCCAACAATGGGAAGCGAGAAACTTTTGTCGCAAATTGGTTTCGCGAGTGAAAATCTCTCGCAACCCAACCGAACCTCTCCGTGCCTACCTCCCGAACCTAGTTTTTAGCGTTGACTTCCGTTGAGTAATTCAGGTCTTGGGCTTTAAAGGCAAGGGTTTGAACCTTAAAAGCTGGAACTACAAAGCTTATATGAAATATGATCGGAAACGGTCGTTTGGACTTCGATATGATCTTAACCACATTTAGTGTGTACAGATGCTTGTACTGCACTGTCACAAAGTGCTGCACATTTTGTTGCATCCTGTAATGAAGTGAAGTAACCCGTTCCACCACTATATAGTGCATAGACTGATGTAGCTTTGAGATTCTACACTCAAATAGGCCGTAAGAAATATGAGACGGAGACAGACCGTAGCTATATCCTTTCCAAATTTTCGCTGTTAAAGCCAGCAGCTAAAATAGTGACCCCCCCCTTCTAGTTGGGTCCACTTGAAAACAGAGTTTTTTTGGGAACACTTCGGAAAGTTGGAAGTGCTGTGCTTTTTATTTTCCCACTCCATACGAGTCTCATTGTGAACGGAGAACATTTTGACCATGTGTACAATTCTGATTGGCTGCGAAACTCACACACAACTCACACATGTGTGCGAATTTGGCGCAAGGGGTTGCAATGTCTGTATTCACTCGAGCGCTCATGTGACTTCACCAAAACTCACATCAATCAACAACACAGGGAAAATCCAGCACACACCCATATGCAAGAGATGAGAGCAGAGCTGCGCTAAAATACGTATCCTTGGACTTGGGGCTGAAAGAAGTTAAAAAAAAAGGGTGGAGAAAATAAGTTTGGCAAGGTAATAACCAGCGGATGGGAGGGGAGAGTGCAAAAGCGACGGGAAGAAAGGGGAGAGAGGAGGAACGACGGGATGGGAGGGGAGAGGAGGCGAACGACGGGATGGGAGGGGAGAGGAAGCGAACGATGGTGTGGGAGGGGAGAAGAGGTGAACGACGGGATGGGAGAGAGGAGGCGAACGATGGGGTGGGACGGGAGGACGTGAGGGCGATGTCGAGTGTAGGGAGGAACGTGAGCGCGATGCCGACGGGAAGGGAGGACGTGAGCGATAGGAGATGAAGTGGGCGACGGGAAGAGAGGGGAAATTGCAAGGGCGACGGGAGGGAGAGCGCCCATGCGATGGGACGGAGAGCGAGAAGGCCACGAGGGAGAGAGCGCGAAGGCGACGGGAGGGAGAGCGCGCAGTCGACGGGAGGGAGATCGCGAAGGCAACGGGGGAGAGAGCGCGAAGGCGACGGGAGGGGAGAGAAGAAGGTGACGGGAGGGAGAGCGAGCAGGCGACCAAGGGGAGAGAAGAAGGCGACGGGAGGGAGAGCGAGCAGGCGATGGGAGGGGAGAGAAGAAAGGCGTTAGGAGGCGGGCATTTCAGGGAGAGAGCAACCGTCGACGAGGACGACGATGGGAAAGGCGACAGGGAGAAAACTTGTCGACAGGAAGGGAGGGGAGAACGAGGGTGACGGGGAGGGAGGGAAGATAGAAGGCGACGGGGGGGGGAGGAGAGAGACCCGCGAAGGTGATGGGAGGGGAACGGACATCGGACGAAAGCGATGGCGAAGGCGCGATACAGGAAACTAGCCCATGCGGAAAGGTAACGAAAGCCTGCGGAAGGGAAATTCTTACGATACTATGCTACGCGACAGTCTTACGCATTCCTGGAGGGTCGAGCGCGATACTTACCTTGGCCACAAACACCTATTGTTGCCAGCTAAAATATGCTAGGAATATAACTAGTGACTTCGGGATGGTGAGCAGGTGGTCATGAAACCCAGTTCCAACTTGAAACCAACGTTAGCCTGGCGACGGAAACCATCGCCAGGCAACCGTCGTGCAGGTGTAGCACGAAAACGAGCGACGAGGGAGATCCGGATGGAAAAACATTTTGGCGGGAACAAGACAGCACAAGATTGGCGAAAGCCAATCACATTTGTTCAAGCCCCTGCTCGTTCTCCTTGGAACAGTGCTCTATCGGCCCGTTCTCTGGAGCACCATTTCAAGTTGGGACAGGGTTCATTATTTTATATTCTGGTATTAACATGTCATCATGCAATGCAGTGAATGCACCAGATTTACCTGCCTACCCATTCCTGCTAGAACAAGCAACCCACCCACCCAAAACATCCTAGAAACTGCTCTCCAGTGGTTTCTTTACTTCATATGTCCTGCAGTGTGGCAGCAGCAGCAGCAGCAGCAGCACCACCACCACCACCACCACCACCACCAACAGCACCACCACCAGAACCACCACCAGCACCACCGTCAGCACTAGCAGCAGCAACCACAGCGACGGCCAGCAGCGGCCAGCAGCAGCGCCAGCGACAGCACAACCCACTCTCCCCTCTCACAAGCCCCTGCTGCCTGCCCCCAGTCCAACGGCCGTAGCAGCAGCAGCTGAAGATGCCGCCGCAGCAGCAGCAGACGAGAGAGTATGAGCATGTCCATGCGTCTGCACGTGCCCCTGTCCATGCCCGGAGACCGCTCTCTCAGCCATCTGATTCACCCTCGCACTCCTCTGCACCGCTTGCACTTTCAGCGCCGTTGCCCGCTGCAGAAACTGCTCCTTGGCCAAGATCCTCACATGCCTCAGGTACGCATCAACGGTCAGGATTCGCCGGCGCGAGTTGGCAGATGAAGGGTCGTACTCATCGTGCCCCCGCTCCTCCTGAAGGGCCCGGTCTAGGGAGTAAAGCACGTCTTCTATAGCTAGGTCTGCTGCCGTGTGCTTGAGCAGCTGAGCCGAGAGAGAATCACAGGGCTGGAAGGCCGAATCAATGTCGATTGCAGCGGTGTCAGTGGGTTGGGTAGAGGAGGTGGTGGTGGTGGTGCCGCTGGTGGTGACGGTGGTAGTGGTTGTTGTTGTGGTGGTGGTACTGGTGGTGGAGGAGGAAGCGTTCTGTGCTAGCCATGATTCCATGACATCGGCGTTGGTTTGTTGGACCTGCACCAGCGACAGTATGTATTGAAGCATGCAAATTGTTGCACATACATCATCAACCATGCGTCATCACCCATACACGAACCATAGATAGATCACCCATACATCATGCCCCACACACAATGACCAATAAGTGGGGGTGGGGTAGACAGACTAAAAAAAGTGAGTAGCAAGCGAGAAGAACCAGAATGGGAGAGGGGGAGTGCACGGGAAGAAACGGCAGATAACCGGGGGGGGGGGAACGGAGAGAGACAGATCAAAACCGCCTTCCTCTGTTCATCCACTTATCCCCATCCTCCCCTGGACCTTTTCTCTCAATCTCAACCCCCCCACCCCACCTTCCCCCCACCCACTCTGCCCAGCTCCAAGCGAGCGAGCAGCAGTCAGAAACACTCTGGTTAACGGGGAAGACTTCCCCACGACACCAGCTCCCACAAGCTTCCCACACCACACGAGCAACAAGTTCCACCTCTCTGCAAGCAATCCTTTCTATTTCAAGGCGGGCAACATCTTCACTGTCGTCTGAATGTTTCCATTTTTACCTTACCACCGGCCCCTCCAGCTCCAGTTCACGCATGAGCACTCATTTGCAGCTTCTTTCCCCACACCCCAACCCTTTCACCACAACACCATTCCCCACGCCCCAACCCTTTCACCGCAACACCATTCCCCACGCCCCAACCCTTTCACCCGCAACACCTTTTCCCACGCCCCAAACCCCTCTCACCTGCAGCACCGTTCCCAACCACCCCAAACTCCCTCCCTCTCACCTGCAGCGACTCCTCCAGCGCCTGCTTCTCCCGCTCGAGCTCCCTCACCACCCCGCTGGCCTGCTCCTTGCGCGCGCCCAGCATCTGCTGCAGCCCCAGCTGCTCCTCCATCAGCCGATTCGCCGTCTGCAAGCTCTCACTCACGTCCGCGCTCAGCTGCACCGACAGGGATATAACAGCCGCCTTTCTAAACACTTCCTTCGCCTCCTCGCCCTTGCTCTTCCCAGATTCTGCTCTCCCTGCCGCCGCCGCCGCCGCGGCCGCCCCTGCTGCTGCTGCTGCTCCAGCGCCTCCTGCGCCTGCTCCCTGTCCGGACGCGCTTCTTACCGCCGCGCCTCCCGCTCCCCCTGTGCCTCCTGCTGTCGGCGCTGCTCCTGCTGCGCCTGCTGCTGCGCCTCCTGTCGGGGCAGCACCAGACCGTGCAAACGTTCCCTTATACTGCCCGTACTGCTGCTGCTGCTGTTGCTGTTGCTGCTGTTGCTGATGTTGCTGCTGCTGATGCTGCTGCTGCTGATGCTGCTGCTGCTGCGCGTACGCACCGACCCCTCCTCCCACCACTCCCCCTCCACCACCACCACTGCCGCTTCCGCTGATGCCTCTCTCTCTCCCGCCCGGCCCTGCTGGCCCAATCCGCGCACCATCTAAACCCGAGGAAGGGGGACCGTGCATGTGCATGGGATTAGTGCCCTGGAAGGCCGGGGATAAGGGGGCGGGGGCAGGTGACATATGTTGCTGATGGTGTTGCGGTTGTTGGTGATGCTGCTGCTGTGCGCGGACATCTCCTCCGCCAGGGCCGCCGGTCCGCGCACCTGGCGGGCGCGCCTGCGTCGCAGCCGCCGCATGCGCGGGCTGGCGGGAGTACAGCGGCGGCTCCTGCCCGAACATGACCGACAAAACTTGCAACAGGTCGACTACAGTCGAGCGCTGGTACACCCACTCGCGCAGAAACGGCACGTCGACCAATCCCGAGGCATTCACGTGCGAGTGATTCGGCCGTATGATCATATCCCGCGTGGGCGTGACGTAAACGAGGGGAGCGGCGCGCGGGAACTGCTCGAGTAGCCACATGGTGATGGGGATATTGTACTTAACCTCCTTGTACCACATAGGTATGGTGCCTTCGAGCTGCAATAGCTGCACCTGTCGCCCGTCGTTGTGCGTGAACGTGGCGGGACGGACCTGGAGAGGGCGTTACGAAAAGACAGGGAGGAGGGATAGCGAGGAAGGGTAGGGAAGGACAAGGGGGAGGGACACGGAGCGGAGTGTGTTTTAAGACTTAAAATGGGCGAGAGTTGGCTTTAATGCGTTCCCAACTATCTGGGGTTATGAGGGAGCCTCCCCGCCATACAAACTAGATCAGCTGCGTGTTGCCAACGAGACTGCGCGCAGTCGGAATTACAAGAAATCCCCCCTTCCTAAAGAGATCCAACAGCAAATTGACGGGTGAGGGACGCGTGAGAACTGGGAAAGGTGGGTGGGGATACGGAAAAGACGGGAGGACGCAAGACCAGCATCTGCATAATAATGATGATGATTATTATTATTATTATCGTTATTATTATTATTGTTAAAAGCAGGAACGTCACCCGCCAAGGCATCCCTACCTATGACGCATATAGACGGAAAGCAACAAATAATCGGACGAACCTGCAGACCAGAGAAGGTCTGAGTAGTGAACGCCAGCTGTTCGCGGATAAGCCACTTGTCGCCCTCGTTATAAGGCAAAGCCCCCGGACCTCTCTGCTCCAAAATTCCGTTCAGAAACTGTCGGGTGTTCGCCTGGGAACCAGCCGACGGCTGCTGCGGCGGTTGCTGCTGCTGCTGCTGGTGGTGCTGTGAATTGTAGTAGGCGGAAGGATTGTAAGCAGACCCCATGGCTGGAAATCTGTCCGGATCTACGGCTGGATTTCCCTGGGGAGGGCTAGGATTGTCCGGATGGCTAGGATCGAGGATCGCCTAGGGACGGCAAAGCGATGGTTCGGGATTCTATGAACGACTACAAGAGGCCAGGAGCGCTAGTGATAGGCGAGATTTAAATCGACGAAAGGTTAAAAAAAAAGATGCCGCTGTCGACGGAGGAAAAAATCAAAGAACAAAGAAAGGGGCTCGGACGCTGTTGGGTAAAAGCAGCAGTGGATAGGCGAGATAAAAGCAGGGAGGAGTGAGAGGAAGAGAGAAAGACAAGTTTGCTCGGGACTTGATTCAAGCAGTACGAGACGTGCATTCAGACAGAGTTTACCCCTAATCTTCGCACTAACACGCAAGAGCACGACGGCTTGGAGGTCTCGGATGGATGACGAGGAGATTACGGCAGCGACGCGAAACACTAACAGCTAAGCCTTAAACGCTAACTAAAAGCGGGTTAACACGACACGACACGGGTATTGCCTCAGAAACAATCAGCAACTACCGTAAGTTCCACGGAAAAACGAAGCGAGGACAAAATCCCCTGCTGCTAGCGCCTCGCAAACACGATCGGGCCGTACCAGTAGCTGATCGCAAAACACCCCATGGCCATCTTCTGGACGAGATCGGACCGACTGGGATGGTGTGGCAGTGGAGAAAGAGAGAAAGACGGACGTTGCAGAAGCAGGTTTCCGGACAACCCTCCACTTACCGTGTGTGACTAGGTCAAAACTGACGTACTGTGTTGCATGATAATGGTTCTGGAGTCTAGATGGACTGACTACATTGCAGTACCATATCAGGGCATCAAATATGAGTTTCTGTCACGGGCGTAGCTAGAGTTATAACGAACTTCGTCACTGGAAAATCGTCGGTCCGCGATCCCGAGTCACCAGCAAAGTTGCTTTAGGATGTGGTCCCAGTCGACTTTGATCGGCACTGATCGGATCGGTTTGGGTCGGGTCGGATTGCTTGTGATCGTTTTTTCTCGCGCCGCCCTATCAGATATGATTTTCTTCGAATGCTTTGCGTTCTTGCTTGAAAACTGTCAGCCCATTACCTGGTAGTTGCATCCCAACTTTGGCGATACGGACGAATCTCAGTATCGTGGTAATGTCGCCAACATCATGTCCCAACACACAGTTCTCGCGGATCTGGGTGTATTCGCAAGGATTTTCGAGACCTAATGGCGAGGCGTGTTACATTTCGCGTACGTCGCCCAGGTCGCCGATCACATGCAATCAAGTGATTGGGGCTGATTGTGTCTGATCGGGTCTGATCGGGCTGTTTGATGCGGTTGATTGAGTTGGCGCGATCAGCTGATCGCGATCAGCTGATTGCCCCTGATTGCCTGAAATCTGATTCCCGCCTTTCTCGAGGTTTCTGACCGCCTCTGATCGCCCCGATCAAAGTCGATTGGGCCCACGTCCTTAGCTGAAACCGCGCCTGATGTTTCACACCCTTCCACTTCGCTCCACCCAAACCTTCTGCTTGTCCTTCCCTTCCTACAGTACATCACCATTCACTTGTGTCATATTCCCAAACCTTTTGAGAAGGACCACAATTCTCGCTATAGGCATTCGCCTGCCTGCTAGGACGAATTACTCTAATTTGTTTCACCCCACTATGACCCTTCAATGCATGCTATACAGAGTCAAGCAACCTGGGGAGTAAAAGCAGTAAATCATATATTGCTGATTGAAAACAGTAGATAAATGCACTGCACTCATCAAACTTGCTACACGTATTGACCGCACTAAAAAAACATCACCTATACATTTGTCTTATCATAACGAACAGGAAGCCTAACCACGAACTAACGCTATCAGTGCTCTATAAATGGCTGCTCCACCTAGCAACACTGCAAGAGACAGCAACGCAAACCCGTCTACTAGGAACCACCTGGCCACCGATCCTCCAAGGAATAACAGCAACCCAGCTTGCACTGCAGACTGCAGCACCACTGATGTAGCTGCCGCTGCTGCAAACAGGGAGGTCAGTTGCTGCTCTAGGTCATGTAAACCCGGTGTTGGTGTCGGCACATTAGTAGATGTAAATGGCGAAGGTGTTAATGTTGTAAATGGCGAAGGTGTTAATGTTGTAAGTGGCGAAGGTGTTAATGTTAACGTTGATGCTGGCGATGATGGTGCAGATGCTGGCGCCAATGTGCATGCTGGTGATATTGCTTGTGTTGTCACTTCTGGCGTAAGTGCCATTGATTGGCATGTCGGTGCGCGTGCATCTTCTGTTGTTGCGAGTGACGGTAATTGCATCAAATTCACTGCTGACTGCCGCACGTGTGCAGCGACCCTAGCCGCACAAACGGCCCCAGTAGCTTCATGCAACGAGTGGTATACCACCAAAGCTGCGTACGTAACCCAGGACAAATCGGCACGGCTGGTGGTAACCAGAGAAAGGCCGCAGACAAAGGCTGAAACGATCTGGATGAGTGTGTGGGCATAGTTGACTGGGATATATGCAGCAGCAACAATGGCCAGAGCAGCTGTCAGGTTTATCAGGATGTAGCATGCACTAGTTGCATCTGAAACTGCTTCTGACTTTGCTGCTCCTGCTATGGGAGTGGCTGCTGCTGCTATTCCTGTGGCAGCTGCTTCTTCTTCTGCTTCTTCTTCTGCTACTGCTGCTGCTTCTGCTCCATTTACTTCTTCGTCTGCTGCCACTTTTGTCCTGCCTGCTGCTGCTTCTGCTCTGTCTGCTGTGGCTTCTGCTGCCACAGCTGCTGATACTGCGGCTGCTGTACCTGATAACAATGATCTGGATGCACTCGCTTTGCCATCAGTCCACTCTCGTGCAGTTGCTGTACCTGCAGTTGCTACGCCTGCCTCTGCTGCTACCAACTGTGACTCCATCAGTGAATACACCAGCATCCTCCGATGCATACCCGGGTGCCAGTCCCCAAGCCCACTGTCTTGAGACCTCTCTGAACGAGAATTGCTGCTTGCAGAACCCAATTCAAACGCAGCAGATCTAAGCCCAAGAGATGTTGGCTCCCACGCAGGAGCTGCTTTATGGATCAAAGAAGTTCCCTTGATCAAACTTCCCACCGGTGGTGTGAGAAAAGGAAAGTGGGGAACATTGAGTAAAGGTGGCGAGGGCAATGCCCGGCCAGTAATGCCTCCCCTGGTCCCAGATGCTGCTACAACTGCTATTGCTGCCACTGCCGCTGCTGCAATTGCTGACATTCCTCCTGGTCCTGCTGCAAGACCATCAGAGTCCGCGTGCGAAGCAGCAGGGAAGACAGCCGTGGAGAAAACAGGATCAGAGAGTGACGACGAGAGCGAGGTTGCGACAGAGGATACCGGAGCATACTGAGACGGCATGAGATGCAGGGACGCCGGCTGTTGCTGATGCATTGCTAGCTCCTTGAAGAGAGAGAGCCAGTAGGTCATGACCATGCGATGGACGCTGTTGGCCAGCACAGCCCAGCAAGACCAGCTCAGCACAGTGGGAGCAGTTAAAGCATGGCACACGTCAGCTGCTACTGATGGTGCTGCGATTAGGATGGAGCGGAGGAGAGTGGATACGGGGTGGAGAGTCAGGCATGGGTACCGCACAGAGGTTATGTGCTTGTGCCCCTGTTCTGATCTCGTGTCTGCTCCCTTTTCCCCTCCGGATTCAGCTCTACACTTGTTTCTAGAAACTCTCCTCGATTCTTCTCTTGTACGTGCCCTTGACTCTGCTCCCTTCTCGGTCTCTAACCCAACATCAGCAGCAGCAGGCCGCAGCAGCACGGCCACAACAACAGACAGAAACTGACACACCAGCGAAACAATGAACAGCACCAGAAGCGACACGTGGCGCGCCATGACTCGCCCGAGCAGGCCTGAGAGGCAGGATCCTGCCAGCGTGGCAGCATGGTTGCCGTGGGACGCAAGGGTGTAGTGCGAGCGGGGTAGGGAGGCGAGGGAGAGTGCGGCGAAGGCAGAATGAGCGGCGAAGGAGAGAGCAAAGGTCACTTGACTGGTCTGAAGGAAGGTGAGAGGAAGGAGCGTGTCTGGTGTTTGGGCAGTAGCAGTGGCATTGAATGTAGCTGTGGCTGCTGCTGTGTCAGTGGAATGATAAGAGGGGGGATGGGGAGGAGATGTTACCGTTGGAGCTGCTATTGTCAGTGCGGTAGTGGCGAATCCGAGAATAGCGCCGAGAATGACGGTGATTTTGCATCCAATGAGCTTCGAGAGAAGGCTGACGAGCAACAGCGCGGGCAGCTGCGAAAAAACCCAGACGGGGAATACTTTGTGGTACACGTCGGCATTGGACAGGCCTTTCGAAACCATGAAATCGACGAGAAAGGGCTCGGAAGGCTTGAACCAGCGCAAGAACGAGAATAGCCAGCAGAGAAATAGTTGCCGCGTGGGAACCAGAGGGTGGGGATGGAGACGTGGTGATGATTCGGCTGATGGACCTGGGAGAAACGAGGAGATTGGAAGGATTCGAAAGCGAGAGGAGCGGGTAGGAGGCGAGGAACAGGAGGGGGAGGAGGAGGAAGAGGAGGAGGCGAGAAGAGGAGAGGAGAGCGAGGTTGAGGTGTGCATGGTGGGGGAAGGTGCTGGAGGGAGGAATTTTGAGGCCCTTCATAAGAAATGCATGGTGGGAGAAAAGGTCGTGGAGTCAGAGCGGGACGATGAGAAGAAATTTGTCGCTGGTGGTGGTGCTGGTGATGCTCCTGCTGCTTCGGCTCCTGCTGCTGCGGCTACTTCTGCTGCCTTTTGAGACGTCTCAAAAGTCTGCGGCTGCTGCGGTTACTGCTGCTGGTGGAAGATTCACCACGGAATTAGTGGTACAGTGAATACGTCAGCTGATAAAAAGGGTGAGCGGGACGAGCACGCGTGGTCTAGGTGAACGAATGCGACTGGATTCGCGAGTTCCTGACACGAAGCAGAGCTGCACGCCAATATCGGTTTGCGAGACGCAATTCTTTGAAACACATACGGAGACTAGAAGTCTAGGAGCCTGCGAAGGAAGAAGGCCGATTGAGGTCGTACATAAGGACGCGGTAAAAGTGGAGATTCGATCGCCTCAGGATCGTTTTTAGCGCGGTTGTAAACGGTTGTGTACCTTTCGTATGCAAAACGCGGGGTTTCAGTACGGTGACCGGATCGATCTCCCCCCGGTCGAGTACTTTAACCGCGTCCTAAAACCCCACGACATCTTCTATGAGTTGGGCTTGAGATCAGGAGAAAGTCCACTGCAACACGTTGAGTGATCAAGAGGTCGTTCACTACATTGGCGCATTGATTGCAGGATTAACGACGCCACGCGAACGCCTCAAGACGTCTTCGCCCGTAGGGGGACTCTTTGACACTCTGGCTACAATGTTACTAAAAGCTTCGATGTGCATTCGTTTCACACTGAAACTGTTGCCAGGTGTGCTTAGGCTCGGCTTGCGCCAATAAACCCTGGAAAAATCCGGAGGTGATGACCGAGCCAAGGAATGAAGTTCGGAACGCCCGTGACTGGTTCGATGGCTGTCCTGACTGGGCCCAGTCAAGTTTTCGTCAAATTCGAGGCAGGATTTCTTGGTCTGACAAAGCGGCTCACATTCAAATCACCGTGATTGGCCAACACAGCTTGTGGTCAGGCTGCGTCAGGCAATCTACAAACAGCCTCGTCATGTGGATTAACCCGTCTACAGTTTGAATTATCGCTATGACGATTGCTTTACAAGCTCACGGTAGGCTCCCCCTGTCCTTCTGCATGCTGCATTCTTGACCTCCCGCTCTTCCATTCCCTTTCCCGAACTCCCAGTAAAAAGCCAACACATTTCGTTTCGTCCCTCCACATTTTCGTTTCTTGCTTACCGTTTTGGCTTTCCTTTCGAACCCTAGTCTCCTCCCACCGCCATAGTTCCAGCCAGTGTATTGTCTCAGCAGCACGCACAAACCGCTTCTATTCGTTCCTACATCATCCGATCCTTATCAGTAATTCCGCCTCGTTCGCCCCTCGCTTCAGGGTACATTTCGCGCTCCCGTTAGCCTGTCACGCCTCCCACTGAAATTCCAGCCAAATTTCGTCGGTAGGCTCGATCCGAGGTTTTGGCCAGGCTTAGGGGACACAGAGGGCTGAGGGGTTTCCGCAGGGGGTTGAGAGGCTAACGTGAAGCCCCGAGAGGATCCAAGTTCCAGTTTTTCATGTCATAAAGACTCCTGTCGCAGCAGAGTCTTAACGCACTTGGTCACCACCCAGCCTCCGGTTTCTCTCACGTCTCTCTGGGGGCTTTAATCACTCCTCTGAGAACGTCTTTCATGAGTTTCCAGTGCCGCTGAGACGTCGCAGTTTTAGCTCACGAGTGCCGCGACTCTCATACCTAGTGTAGAGGAGGTGTTACAGGCGTCAGAAGCAGCAACTTCCGAATCAGCTCTGCTCCGTTTAGAGACGTACAATCGTCTAAACGTCCACGGATCCAGGCATACTGACATCCCCCTGGCATCCATTGTTTCTCCTTTTTCGATCATCGCCTCTTGTTCCGTCAGATTTATATTTCTCTAGTCCGACCAGCCCCGGCTTCCAGTGATGAGTGCTACACGGTTCCCGCAGCACCGACTCTCTGAGAGCCGCGGAAGGGCTGTCATGGCGGAGAGAGAAGCGGAAGCGGATGTGATTTTAGTAGATAGCGATGATGAGGAGGAGGATGAGGAACAGGAAGAGGAGGAAGAGGAAGAGGAGGAGGAAAAGGAGGGGGAAGGGGAGCAGGAGGAGGAGGTGCAGGAGGAAGAGGAGGGGAAGGAAGATCTCAGGCGACACAAGGGGGGGATGGGAGGAGGGAATTCAACGGGGTACGGGAAGGTAAATGGAGGAAGGGGACTGGAGAATGGGAGCGAGACAGGACTCCAGGCTGAGAAGGCTTGTAACGGGGTTGCCAGTAAGAGAGGCCTTACTGCAGCAGGTGGGAAGCGAGGGGTACCAGCCAACTGTGAAGTGGTTGTTTTGGACGATAGCGAGAGTGAAGAGGAGGAAGATGAGGAGGATGAAGAGGAGGAGGAAGATGAAGAGGAGGATGTTGATGTGGTGGAGGAGGAGGAACAGGAGAAGGAGGCTGCTGCTGCTGCTTCTTCAAATCCGGCTGGTGCTGCTGATTCTTCTGACGAGGAGGAGACAGATGGTGCTGCTGCTGCTGCTGGCGGCAGGGGTAGGCCAGTAAAAGAAAGGATCCGGGAGGACAGATCAAGAGCTGTGAAGTCTACTCCAACCAGAGGCAGCAAAGCAGCTATGAGAACCCCACCGGGCAGCAGCAGTAAAGCCTCTCTGGAGGTCTCTAAGTCGCCCAAGATGAAGTCTCCCGCAGCAAAACCCAGAGCTACAAAATCCCCAGCTGCCAGGTCACAATCAGCAGCAGCAGTAGAAACTGCGTCTCTAGCAGCAGTTAAGTCCCCTGCAGCAGCTAAATCTTTGACATTCACAGGGGAAGGTGGAGGAGGTATTGCGAAGGCAGCAGCAGCGTTGACTGCTCCCCCTCCTTCTGCTGCTGCTGCTGCTGCTGCTGCGGCGGCGGCACCGAGCGACAACGATCCTTCTCTGGCTGCCACTCCTGGAAGCACTGGCGGTGCTGCTGGGGTGCGTGAGCCTGGACGCAAGCTGAAGCAGGAGATGCGCGCTAAAGGGAAGCAGGGGCAGGGCCAGGGGCAGGGGCAGGGGCAACTGGGGAAGGAACAGAGTGAAGGGCAGAAGAACGTGAACGGGCTGGGAGAGGGAAAGGGTGCGGGCGAGCAGAAGAGGAAGCGCGTTTCTGCTGCTGCCGGAGACGGGAAGAAGAGCAGGGCAAGGGCGGAGCGGACTACCGCGCCTGAGAGTGCACATAGGAGGGAGGAGGAGCAGCGGGGGGATGGGGTAGAGGATGGAGATGGGGAGGGGAACAGTGGGGACGGCTTGAGGGAGGGGGAGGGGAGGGAAGCAGAAGCAATGGAGGCGAGGGGAGGAGGGGGGGAGGGAGGGGATGGGCAGGAGAGCGGGAGTCGGGAAGGGGAGGGCAATGCAGGGGATGAGCATGAGGGGCACGACGGACATGAGGGACATGAGGGGCATGAGGGGAGGCGAGCATCGTTGGGAGTAACGGGTTTGTTCCAGCTGCCGTTCTCTCGAGTGAAACGAGTGGCACAGGGGGCTGTTGGCAGTAGCTTCAGCAGCTTGCACGATGGCGTGGGTGGGAGGGATAGGGGGAAGGAGAAGGAGAAGGAGAGGGAGAAGGAGAAAGAAAAGGAGATGCATCTGAGCACGGAAGCAGCATTGCTCATCACACATGCAACGGTAGGTATTGCTCGAGGTGTTTTGCACGCCTCACAACTCGATAACGCTTCGCTCCACTCCACTTGTCCAACTCACATTCCCACTCATTCGTGCACTCATTCTCTCATCCTCTCATTCTCTCATCCTCCCATCCTCTCTTCTTGGAACCTGATCTCACTTCTGCTAATCCCTCTCATCCTCTCCCCCGTTCTCGTCCCCACACGGCCCCTTGATTGGGGCTCTAGTCGGCCAGTAGGTTACCGAACAACTACCAGTCCGCCTGGGTTGTTGTTTGTAGACAGCCCAGGGTGGTTCTGAGAATTCTCGAAAACAACCCCCAACTTAACTGGGACCCAGGTGGGCTGCGAGGAGGAGCATAGAACAGCCACATCCTGTCAGGGTGAACTGTGTTTTGAGGCGACTCAAAACACAACCCGGGTGGGCTGCAAGGAGGACCATAGAACAGCCACGTCCTGTCAGGGTGGACCGTGGAACTGAGAATTCCACTTATGAGAATTTCTTAAAAGTGATTTCAACATAGGACCATATAACAGCGATGTCCTGTCAGGGTGGAGTCTGAAAATTCCACTAGGATTGCTTGCTGCCAGCCACTAGCCAGGGTCTAGCGATCTTGTTGCGTCGTCTCAAAACTCGATTTAAACGTAGCCAGCAAAAAGGGGCAAGCGGTTTGTGTAAGCTTTTTTACTTTTGAGTCGACTCATAAGGGGCAAGCGGTTTGTGTAAGCTTTTTTACTTTTGAGTCGACTCAAAAGGGGCAAGCGGTTTGTGTAAGCTTTTTGACTTTTGAGTCGACTCAAAAGGGGCAAGTGGTTTGTGTAAGCTTTTTGCGAGGTCTCTAAAAGTGGGCCACAGGAGCTTTTCCTGGGAGTGTGCGTGACAGAGGCACTGAAGCACTTTTGAGAATTCTCAAAAGTGACACACCATTGCAGAGCAGAGCTCATTCTTTAGGCGCCTCAGAAATCAACTCAAGGCCACGTTCCCCTCCTTTGTCAATCGCAATCTCATCCCGGCCACAGGAGCTTTTCCTGGGGGTGTGCGTGTCAGAAGCTCTGGAGCACCCGCACACCGTTGCAGAACAGAGCGCGATGCTGCACTACCGGCACGTAGGTAAGTGCGAATCAGCGCAGACAGACTTCCGTTCCCTTGCGTTTGAGTCGACTCGAGTGCAAAGCAGCGCAGGGAGTCTTCCTTTACGTTGCGGCCGCCTTTCTTTCTCCCCCCCCCGTCTCACCCTACTTTTTGCAACCGTTGAATACCTCAACGTTTCGTGCGTGCTGCTTTCCGTGCTTGCTGCTTTCCGTGCTTGCTGCGGGTGCATGTAGGCACTCCGTGTGGCTTTTGAGTAAATTGGAAAGGTGTCTAGTTTTCGAGCTTGCTGGTGGTGCTGTCTTGCACAAAACAAAGAGCAAGAACAGGAACAGGAACAGGAACAGGAACAGGAACAAGAACAAGAATATGAACAAGAACAAGAACAAGAACAAGAACAAGAGCAAGAACAAGAACAAGAGCAAGAGCAAGAGCAAGAGCAAGAACAAGAACAAGAACAAGAACAAGAGCAAGAGCAATAACAAGAACAAGAGCAAGAGCAAGAGCAATAGCAAGAGCAAGAGCAAGAGCAAGAGCAAGAGCAAGAGCAAGAACAAGAACAAGAGCAAGACCAAGAACAAGACCAAGAGCAAGAGCAAGAGCAAGAGCAAGAACAAGAGCAAGAGCAAGAGCAAGAGCAAGAACAAGAGCAAGAGCAAGAGCAAGAACAAGAACAAGAACAAGAACAAGAACAAGAACAAGAACAAGAACAAGAACAAGAACAAGAACAAGAACAAGAACAAGAACAAGAACAAGAACAAGAACAAGAACAAGAACAAGAACAAGAGCAAGAGCAAGAGCAAGAGCAAGAGCAAGAGCAAGAGCAAGAGCAAGAGCAAGAGCAAGAGCAAGAGCAAGAGCAAGAGCAAGAGCAAGAGCAAGAGCAAGAGCAAGAACAAGAACAAGAACAAGAACAAGAACAAGAACAAGAACAAGAGCCATTTCCCCTGCATGCTGCATCGGAACTGGATTTTGAGACGTCTCAAAACAAGAACAAGAGGCGTCCCCCCTGCTTGCTGCATTGGAAATGAAAGAGATGAGTCTTGGCATGCACATCACAGGTCCTCAGTGGCTCAAGTCTCGCTCCCACTCCAGCCCAGCCGGGCCAGCCTAATCAACGCCTCTTCTCTCTTCCTTCCTTACTTAAGGTGACTTTTGAGGCGACTCAAAAGTAGCTAGGCCAGCCTTGTCGACACCTCTTCTCTCTCCCTTACTCATCACCCATTTCCCCGTCGTCCCTCCGTTTCCCACTTCCCCCTTCTTCCCTCTCCTTATCCATTCTTCCCTCTCCTTATCCATTCATCCCTCTCCTTATCCATTCTTCCCTCTCCTTATCCCTTCTTCCCTCTCCTTCCCCCTTCCCCCATTCCCCTTTCTCCCGTTCTCCCTTTCTCCTTCCCGTCCCCCACCCCCCCCTTTCCTTTTCTTGTTGCACTGCGCAGCTGCTGCTGTTTCAGACACTCCTCGTTTCGAGTTTCTGTCAGGTTAGATTCAGATGGGACCACATCTGTCACTTGGAATCACATGGGCGCTGCTTGGCCTTGCTAGTGTTGTGTTGCCTATGCTTTCTCTTGGTGCGACTTTTGAGGCGCCTCAAAATACACCTCACGACCTGCTAGTGTTGTGTTGCCTATGCTCTTCTTCTTGGTGCGACTTTTGAGAATTCTCAAAAGGCGCTGCTTGGACTTGCTGGAGTCGCGCCAATATGACTGGCTGGTGTTGTGTTGCCTATGCTTCTTCTTCTTCTTCTTCTTCTTCTTCTTCTCGATCTCTTTTCCGATGGCAACAGAATCCCCAATCCATCCCTCTTCTACATTCCACACTCTACACTCGTTACAGTGTACAGTCTTTGACAACTCCTCTCTTGTAACTCACCCATGCTGCCGAGAGCTGACCTTCCCCTTCTATTCACCTCAACTTTCCTCTCTGCCTCCCTCTCCCTTGCTTGGCACCCTTTCTCCTTTTTATTCTCCCCTGCTTCCTCTCCCCTCCTCCCTCTCCGCGGTATGTCATACTAACGGTGCATACAATAGACTTTGTGCCACAGACGGTTGTGGCTCGGAGAGTCAAGCCCTCTGCGCCTGCACGGGAAGAGCAGCCCGCATGATGTATGTACTAGCGTTACTAGTGCTGCTGCTTCTGTTTCTGAGTCGACTAGAAAGCCAGTTATGGCTCGGAGAGTCAAGCACTCTGCGCCCTCACGGGAGGAGCTGCCCACATGATATATGTATACTATACTACCGGTACTAGTGTTGCTGCTGACCATGCAGCTGCTGATCATGCAGCCGTTGCTCCTCTGCTCCTCCACGGGAAGATTTTCTATGCGCCTCAAAAGATGGTTGTGGTTCGGAGAGTCAAGCCGCTTGCTCCTCGACAGGAGTAGCAGCCCGCATGATGTATCGTATGTAGTGCTGCTGCTGCCTCTGTTTCTGAGTTGGCTAGAAAACCAGTGTGGCTTGGAGAGTCAAGCTGTCGGCTCCTCCACGGGAAGAGCCGCCCACAGCTGCTGCTGACCATGCAGTTGCAGCTGCTGCTGACCATGCAGCTGCAGCAGCTGCTGCTACTAGTGTTGCTGCTGATAATGCAGCCGTTGCTCCTCTGCTCCTCCACGGGAGTGATGTTGTGGCGGTTGCTTGCTGCTCTGCTGCACTTGATTCAGCAAGTGCAGTGCAGTGCATCTGTGTTTTTCTCTGGTTTGGTGCTCATACCGTGCCTCCATGTCAGGGTATTTCTATCCCAAGCGCCTCTAGTAGTGAGAAAAGATACTGATGCTGCTGCTGTGCACAATGCGTAACGTATCTGGAAAGTGTTCTTTGCTTGGAAATTAACTGGTGAATGCGGTGTTATTTTTTATCCTCTTCAAACACCTTGGTGCAAGTGTACACTATGTGACAGTCATTCAACACTAAACACATTCCAGCAGAACATTTCTACCGTAGGTACAGCTTGTTTTTCATTGTGGCATAACCAGTTTGTACTACCATACCACCGTATATGTACAATACAACCGCAAAATGAGCTCCTGGGACCTAGAATGCTTGACCTACCCTACTTGATTACTCAGCACGTGTGATACAACCTGCTCCCATGAAACGGCCAAGGGAAGGGACCCTGTCCCCCTATAAATTCATGGCTCAAAAAGGCTAAACTGAGGCACCTAAAGCTGAGAGTGCATGTCCCTTGCGACCCATGCACTGGTGGTGAAATCAGCTGCGATCTGCACTCGCATTACCTCGTGCACTGCACCCCTGCACACCACTCCCAACAGCCTCCGAGCCTCGGGTGTTGCTGCGGAGAGAACAGGCTCGGCACGAGAGGTAGCAGGTTCGGGACGAGGGGGAACAGGTTCGGCAACGGCAGCTACAGAAAGAGCGGCAGGAGGAGGATTGGCAGCAGCAAGAGCAGCACCAGTGCCATCATCACCACTGGCAGTGGCAGCAGCAGCAGCAGCTGCAGCAGCAAAATCTTTGAGTTGCACAGAGGCGGTTAGCATCTCGTCTCTCATTCGGAATCCCACGTGGCCCCATGCTCCCAGCACCCACCACCGCACACACACCACCCTTCTTGCTGTTCCCGAGGCCTGCAGGGCAGTGAGCAGGAGAGACGGCTGCGACGGGGAAATGGGGTAGAGAAGAAAGGGCAGGGAAAAGGGCGAAACTGGTGCTGAGTCAGAGTGTGCCAAGTGCTCAGAGTGCGGTACATGTTCCCAGAGTGCTCAGAGTGCGGTACATGTTCCCAGAGTGCTCAGAGTGCGGTACATGTTCCCAGAGTGCTCAGAACTGCATGCATGCATTGACAGTACCCGAGTGCACATTGCACTCACATTACGAGATGGCCCAAGCTTATCCTTTAACTCATGCACACCTGTGCTACCCTTGCACTCACCATGTGCTCCATCCGCTTCCCCACCCCCCCCGCATCCATCTCACCTACCTTCTTCAACCACTTTCCTCTTTTTCCGCACCCCCCCCTCTTCCCCAAACCTTCGCTCTCTTCTCCCACCATTCTCCCCTTTCCCCCTCCCCTCCTCCCCCCGCTCCCACCCACTCTTCCCCCCCGCATCCATTCTCGTCCAAACCCTTCTATCTCACCTCAACTCTAAGGTTCATCAATGCATGATGCACCCCCAAGAGATTAAGTAACACCGACAGCTGCGGACTAAGAAGCAGCCTCGCCACGTCAGCAAAGACGAGGCGCGAGCACGCGAGGAGGCCCAGCGCGACCTGGTACTCCTTCACCTCCAGCGAATCATGGCGCGCTGCTGACGTCACTC